AGGCTGACGCCACGGCACTCACTCTAGCCAGGGCAACAGAGTGAGACTCTGTCTCAAAAAAAATAAATAAAATAAAGTTTTATTGAAGCACAGCCATGCCCATTTGCTTATGTATTGTCTGTGGCTGCCATCACTACGACAGTTGAGTAGTTGCCACACATACCATAATGTCTGCAAAATCTCAAATATTTACTACATGGTCCTTTATAGAAAAAATTTTGCCTACACCCTCGTCTAGATCTCCAACTGACCATATGAGGGACAGCCACCTGTTGATCTCAACAACACTCTGGTACTTTACATTGAAAAAAAACCAAGCCATTGAAATTCAGGTCCTATTTGTTTATTCTCACTCATACATTCTTCCTCAGCTATCCCAGAATGATTGCCTAATGCAGATGGCCTGAATGTCAGTTGATTGTACATTGAAGATGACCACTTATGTCCTTGGGGAGTACGGCTCTCCCCTCTCCGACCCACCTCCAGGCCAAAATTTCACCCAGATGCTCTGACTCGGTCAATCCTGGGATCGGATTGACCCCAGGAAGTCTGACCGCCTAATTACTACACAGCATCAAGGACCTTGGAAGGTGTCAACATAAGGAAACTTCTGCCCAGCGATCCGAATTCTGAAAGGAAGAAGTTCCCTGAAACTCAAGGAAAGGGCTGCAGTGACAATAACCTTTGTCAAAACCGGGGCCTTGTCACCTAACTGGTGGTCATGATGGTGGTGAAGATTCTAATTGCCTTTATATCACAAGCTGACCATCCATATTTCACTTTTCTGTTTAAGTGACTTCTTTTTGATTATCACTTTTGTAAACTGGATGTGATATTACTTAAATTTCGTTTTTTATTTTTATCATCATTTTAATTTAAAAAATACAATGACACTTTTTTTTTATGATTACCTTTATTTTATGGCAAGTTCTGCAGGTCTTCCACTTATGGAAATGATATAAAATCTCCTTTTTGATTGAGTATGTAAAAGTAAAAAAGTTAATTCATTTAAAGAAAACTGCTAATGATAGTACAGTTAGTGGGCTGATATGGCAAAAAATGTGAAGTCAGTATGAGAATAACCGAAGTTCCAGAAACGGTGCTTATGTCTAGACTGCATTGGAAAATGTCATAGAATTCCGGATTCACAGAGTGGGAGCCACGTTGAATGGTGCAGGAGAGAGCACCTCACTCAGAACCATCCCTCTCTCTCTCAACCCTTCTCACTCCAGAAGTGATCCCCAAATGTCTCCCAGTGGGTTCCCAGACTGCTGGTCTCCTGGTGCAGCTTCTCCACCACAAAGTCTACAGCTGATATTGCCGTGATGACCAGGCAAAGCTGAGTGAGGGCCCAGGTGGACGTGGGCTTGCTCTGCCCCGTGCCTGCTCTAGTGTGTGCTCTCCGTGTATCTGCTTAGTACATTGGTGGAGGTGGAGAGGTTTGGGGGGTGGAGTGGGAGCTCCAGATGTGCCACTCTCCCAGGTCCTACCCAACGGCTTAGGAGTCAAGGCCAGTCCCCAGGGTTTTACTCTCCACGTCATTGACTTCCACATGGGACACTGCAGTGAAAGGCAATGGCCCCAGTCGACTGCCACTTAAACAAGAGATGTACTGCTGACAGCTAAAGTGACACCGGGAAATTATACACTTTTGCAAATTGAGACCTGGTGCAAGGCTTGGTCTACACAAGCCTCAACCATCACACCTGCAGAGTCATCCTGAGCAAGGAATGGACTTTGGAGGGGCCCGCCAGGCACAGGCAAGGTCTAGGAGTGGCCGCTTCCGTTTGCAAAATTGATTGGTGTAACAGGCGGGTATGTGATTCAGCAGTGGATTAGGAGAGTAATTCCTCATTATCTTTGATATTTTGCTAACACAGCACTGTATGATCTTCATAGCCAAGAGCAAAGGGTCTTTCTCAGGTTGCAAAGGCCAGCTGGCTGGGGCACAAGGCAGGATGGTGAACTGGTGTGTGTGTGTCTGCGCATTGTGCTAAGTGACTAGAAACATCCGTGGTGTCTAATGAGGAGGACCACCCAGACTGTCGCGTGTGAGTAAAGATAGAGGTGCTATTTATTAGCATGGTCCTTCTTGCCTGTGTTTTTATAAATAAAACTGAGGTAGGAAGGAACCCTAGCCCAGGTCAACCTTTGTAGAGTGAATCCCTTCTGGGGACTGATTCCAATGCTGTCACCAAGTCCCCACTCCCACCACAGGGCCACCTCACCAGCCTGCCACATGGCTAGATTGAGTGCTAATGAATATCCCTTTTGGAATGTGGGTTTCCAGAAGCTTCATTTCAGCTGAAACCGACGTCCTTGGGCAAGAACCCTTGGACATCTCTGGGATTGTCACGTGCTTTTATGGCCGCTGGTTGCCCA